AGATTCTTAACACCTACACTGAATCTATTAATGAAGATGTTTTAAGAGTGCACCCTGAGGTTTTGTACTTCTAGTATAGTGAGTCTTACATCCTCTAAATTTAAGAACATTGATGTAATTTTTATTCTGATGCAGTTTATAAGAAAAGATTTATATTCAAATTTCATTTCTATTGATTAATGACTTTAGTTTTGTAGCTTCCTTCTTTCTTAGTTTTATCTCATTTACACATTTGCTGCATCTTCCAGATCATGTCATACAAATTTCTCATATATCAAAATGAAAGTTTTCAGTTAGAATTGTCTATTCTACTTCTAGATATATTCTACCTAATTTCTCCTCTCCAGACACGAAAGGTGTGTGGTTTACTTTCAACACACCCATCAATTAGAGACAGAGTGAATGTTTATATGGGCTGATCCAGATTACAACTCTTGCAAGAACCTCAGTTCTACTGCACAATCTCGGTCACAACATCTTTGAATATAATAGTCTAAAACCGTCCCACTTACCTACCTTAATATCCAACACTACTGTGTGTAGTTGTGTCCCCAGTCTCTATCTCATAAGACACAAGGTCAGAACTTTGTGTTGAAAGACAGGATTCATCAGAGATTTTATAAGCAAGATTGCTTTTAAGATGAATAATAGAGAATAGACAATAAGAATTGCATACTGGAAAGTAAATTATGCTTTGTAAACATCACTTTAATACGTCTCAAAATGAGTAGTTTTAGGATACAAAGATCTCCCAACCCAGTCTGACCCCTAAAGAAAAAGAATACTTGAAAGTTTGCTGCAGGAATCTGCATTTTAACACATCCTTGAGTGATCAAGATATATCCTTGGAGTCAGTGTTGCTCTATAAATTCAAACATATCAAATCAATGTCCTAGAGAACCAGTCCTAGCCCAGGTCCGGTGAGTGTGTGGAGAGTTTCCGGCTACACTGCGCCTGCGGGACCAGTCCCAGCCCAGACGCAGCGTGGGCCGGACCCTCTCACAGCCCCTCGGGCC